GTTTTATATTATATTTACGTATAATCCTTTTTTAATTGTATGATATTAATTAAGTGGGGAAGATTAACCTTTAGTTAAGGATCAAATGGGCCACAAATGATGCCGTTCTCGCATTAACTGTTAAAAGTTGATGATAAAATAATTTTAAGATCATATTTTTGTCAATTCCTCAATCAGCCGTTTATCTAAACTCAGCGCCAAGTGACCGTAAACCTTCCTCCACCTGCCGCCAACAACCGTGACAACAAACATCACTTCATCAAAACACGTTAACCCACGCTCATAATGCCTCGTTGGTCTGTTCATTAAAAACATGTTATTTTTTCCTCTAGTTTTTCAATTTTTTTCAAACAAATATTTCAAGAGTTCTCCATATTATTTTTGGTTCGTCAGATATGTTTGTTTTTCGTTTCATCCAAGAGTATTTTAATACTTGTTTTCCTACGCTATCACCTACACCACATCCACTACACTATCACCTACACCACACTCACTACACTATTACTTACAGTACATCCACTATACTATCACCTACACCACATCCACTACACTATCACCTACACCACATCCACTACACTATCACCTACACCACATCCACTACACTATTACTTACAGTACATCCACTATACTATCACCTACACCACATCCACTACACTATCACCTACACCACATCCACTACACTATCACCTACACCACAGCCACTACACTATTACTTACAGTACATCCACTACACTATCACCTACACCACATCCACTACACTATCACCTACACCACATCCACTACACTATCACCTACACCACATCCACTACACTATTACTTACAGTACATCCACTACACTATCACCTACACCACATCCACTTCACTATCACCTACACCACACCTACTACACTATCACCTACACCACATCCACCACACTATCACCTACGCTACATCCACCACGCTATCACCTACACCACATCCACTACACTATCACCTACACTACATCCACTACACTATCACCTACACCACATCCACTACACTATCACCTACACCACATCCACCACACTATCACGTACGCTACATCCACTACACTATCTCCTACACCACATCCACTACACTATTACCTACAGTACATCCACTACGCTATCACCTACAGTACATCCTCTACACTATCACCTACACCACATCCACTACACTATCACCTACACCACATCCACTACACTATCACCTACACTGCAGCCACTACACTATCACCTACACCACATCCACACACTATCACCTACATTACATCCACTACACTATCACCTACACCATATCCACCACACTATCACCTACATTACATCCACCACACTATCACCTAAATTACATCCACTACACTATCACCTACACCACACCCACTACACTATCACCTACACCACACCCACTACGCTATCACCTACACCACATCCACCACACTATCACCTACATTACATCCACTACAGTATCACCTACACCACATCCACCACACTATCACCTACAATACATCCACTACACTATCACCTACACTAAATCCACGACACTATCACCTACACTACATGTACTACACTATCCCCTACACTACATCCACTACACTATCACCTACACTACACCCACCACACTATCACCTACATTACATCCACTACTTATCACTACCATCCCTTCACTATCTTTCACCACATCCACCACACTATCATACCATTACGTTCACTACACTATCAACTTCACCATCCACTGCATTTGACTACACTATCAACTACACCACATCCACTACACTATCACCTACACATCCACTACACTATTGCCTGGTACATCACTACATATCACCTACACACCACATCCACTACACTATTATACAGTACATCCACTACACACTATCACCTACACCACATCCACTACACTATTGCCCCACAGTATCCACTACACTATCACCTACACCACATCACTACTATTACTTACAGTACATCCATACACTATTACTTACAGTACATCCACTATACTATGCCTACATTACATCCACTACACTATCACCTGCACACATCCACCACACACTATCACCTACATTACATCCACTACACCATCACCTACACCACATCACTTCACTATCTGCCTGCACCATCCCACCACTATCACCGCCTACGTACATCACTTTTTATCCTTCCACCACATCCACTATTGACTACACTATCAACTACACCACATCCACTACGTGACTACACTATCGGCTTACCATCACACTACGCTATCAACTACACCCACATCCACTGCTCACCTACACCACATCCCACTACTATGCCCAGTACATCCATTACACTATCACCTGAACCACATCACTACACTGTACCACTTACAGTACGTCACTACACTATCACCTACACCATCCACTACACTATTACTTACAGTGCATCCACTACACTATCACCTACACCATCCACTACACTATCACCTACACCATCACTACACTATTGCTTACAGTACATCCACTACACTATCACCTACACCCATCACTACACTATCACCTACATACATCCACTACACTATCACCTACCATCACCACTATCTACATCATCCACTACACTATCACCTACGCCACATCCACCACACTATCACCTCATTACATCCACTACACACTATCACCTACACCACATCCACACTATCTTACCATTCCATCACTACACTATCACCTACACATCCACTTCACTATCACCTACACCATCCACCACACTATCCTTGCATTTGCATCCACTACACTATCAACTACACCACATCCACTGCGACTACATATCAACACCATCTACACTATCTTCACCATCCACTACACTATCACCTACACCACATCCACTACTGTTAACACAGTGCATCCACTACATATCACCTACACCACATCACTACACTATCACCTACACCACATCCACTACACTAGCCCTTACAGTACATCTACACTATCACCTACACCACATCCACTTCACTATCACCTACCACCCACACTACAATATCACCTACACCACATCCACCACACTATCACCTACATTGTTACATCCACTACACTATCCGCCTACACTTCATCCACTACATATCACCTACACCACATCCACTACATTATCACCTACACCACATCCACACATCTCTTCCACCACATCCACTACACTATCACCTACACCACATCCAGGCTAAGCACATACACCGCACACTCATCACATACACTATCACCACCCACATCACTACTGTCACTAAACCCATCACTACACTATCACCTACACACATCACTACATTGTACACCAACACATCACTACACTGTCACTACACCACATCACTACACTGTGCCTGCACACCACCAGTCAGTACAGTATCACCTACACCCATCACTACACTATCACCTACACCACATGTGTGTGTGTGTGTGTGTGTTTCAATTTATGTAATGAGAATGTGCTGCAGTAAATATATAACTTATTATATAATATAATATAGAGAGAAAGAACATCGATATATATTTAGTTTCAGGGTTTATTTAGTTATTTATTCTTTTACTTATTACTATGGTATTTGTTTCCTCTATTCATGTGTAGTTTATGTCTTTACTGTTGTTTTAAGTACCTTAAATTTAATAGTGTTTGACCGATGCTTATATTGATATTTTTACATTTGAGAATATATATAATATCATATGATTATCATCCCAGGTTTAAAAGTACAGAAATAATTAATAAGAGTTGCTAATATTCATTAAGTTTGGTTAAGTCAGTTTTAATTTGTTTCTGAAACATTTCAATGTATACCTAATATGATAAACTGCATGATGTATTCGTGACCAGTAAGAAGGTTAAAAAAGATACATAGAAGTTATCGATATTGGTAATTATCCTATTTAGTGTAATAATCAGGATATGGGGATGTAGGTAGATGATAGTGAGGTGATAGTGTAGATGTGTGTTGGGATGTAGTATAGTTAGAGCAGTTGTTGGTGTAATTGTGTAGTGGATGTAACGTAGATGATAGTATAGTTGTTGGTGTAGGGTGTAGTGGATGGTTATTGTTGTTGTAGTGTGGATGGTATTTTTGTTAGTAGGAAGTGTTGGATTCGTGATAAAGATGTGTTGTAGGTGATTGGTAATGTCGATGTTGTACATTAATGATGTTAATTGTAATGAGTTAGTATCGGACGTAGGTGGGTTGGAGCTCATAAATAAATAAAATGTATATATGTCGTGTAGTGGAAATATTATGTTAGTTTTAATTTATATCTTCTGGTCATTAACTGTATATCAATGTTATTTTTTTTAATGTGTTCAACATTTTTGTTTTAGCAATGCAAAGTAGTCTTTATATGTATATAAATGCTGAGAGGATGAGTTTTTACCCAAAGATTGTATAGGTTAATCTAGAATAGACATATGGACAGACCAATTATTTTATCCATCATCTAGGAATTATTCAACTTCGAATAGCGACAAGGAGTGCTGTCTCCCTTAACTGGCATTTCTGGAGAATTGAACTACCGAAACACCAGAAATGCTATGATGAAACTATCTGTGTTCTGAAACTGAGTAGTAAATGACAATAAAGAAAATAAAACAGCTCTTTATTTGCTTTTATAACTTTTTCTGGGGGATTAATGTCTCTTGTTTACTATGCTGCTCCTAAAGTATTTCAACAGTATCTTTTATATTTAAACATGAAGACGTACACAGGCTACCCCTGGAGGCTGGGTGGTGCCGCCGCTGAGGCTGGGAGGTGCTCGTGGGAGACTGGGTGGTGCTCCCAGAGGTGCTGGGTGGTGCTCCCTGGAGGCTGGTGCACCCTGGAGGCTGGGTGGTGCCCCTGGAGGCTGGGTGGTGCCCCGGGCTGTGGTGCTCCCAGGCTGGGTGGTGTCCCTGAGGCTGGGTGGTGCTCGGAGGCTGGGTGGTGCCCCGGAGGCTGGGTGGTGCCCGGAGGCTAGATGGTGCTCTGGAGGCTGTGTGGTGCCCCTGGAGGCTGGGTGGTGCTCCTGGAGGCTGGGTGGTTGCCCTGGAGGCTGCGTGGTGCCCCTGGAGGCTGGGTGGTGCCCCTGGAGGCTGGGTGGTGCCCCGGAGGTGGGTGCTTGGAGGCTGGGTGGTGCTCCGGAGCTGGGTGGTGCCCCTGAGGCTGGGAGGGGCCCGCAGGTCTGCCTGGTTTTCTGGGTTGGGGGTGCCCCCTGGAGGCCGAGGGGTGCCCCTTTGAGGCTGTGTGGTTTCCTGGAGGCTGGGTGGTGCCCCGGAGGCTGGTGTTGGGGGCTGGATGGTGCCAAGGTCTGGATGGTGCCCCCAGGGCTGGGCGGTGCTCCTGGGGCTGGTTGGTGCTCCGGAGGCTGGTGGTGCTCCTGGGGCTGGGTGGTTTCTGGAGGCTGCCTGGATTCCTGGAGCTGGGTGGTGCCGGGAGGCAGGGGTGCTTGTGGTGTGTGATTTCTGGGGCTGGGTGGTGCTCCTGGGTTGGGTGGTGTGGGAGCTGGGTGGTGTCAGGGGGCTGGGGGTGCCGGTGCCTCTGGCTGGGGGTGCTGGAGTCGAGGTGCCTTGAGGCTGTGTTTGGGTGGTTGTCCAGGCTGGATGATGCTGAGATTCTGGATGGTGCCAAGGTGGATGTGGTGCCCCGGAGGCTGGATGGTTTGGATGGTTGGTGCTCTTGAGGTGGGTGGTGCTTCTGGAGGCTGGATGGTTTCTGGGGCTTGGTGGATTCCTTGGGCTGGATGGTGGGAGTTTTGGTGGTTGGTTCCTGGAGGTTGGATGGTGACCCGGGGCTGGGTGGTGCTCTGGGGGCTGGGTGTCTGGGGCTGGGTGTGGTTTACTGGGGTGGGTGGTTTGGGGTTGGATGGGTGGGGCTGGGTGGGTTGGAGGCTGGTTGTTTTGATGTGGATGGTGCACTGGGCTGTGGTGCCTTGGGCTGGGTGGTGTAGGCTGGGTGGTGCCCGGAGGCTGGATGTGGTGCCCAGGAGGCTGGATGGTGCTGGGGTTGGTTGTGTACAGGCTGGGTGGTTTGGAGGCTGGATGGTGTGGGGTGGATGGTGCTCAGGAGGCTGGTTGGTGCTGCTGGGCTGGATGGTGCTCCTGGGGTTGGGTGGTGCTCTGGGGTTGGTTGTTTTGGGATGGTGTGCATGAGGCTGTGTGGTTTCTGGGGCTGGATGGGTTTTCGGAGGCAGGATGTTTGCCGAGGCTGGATGGTGGTCTGTGGCTGGATGGTGCCCGGATGCCGGGCTGGATGGTGCCCTGGAGGCTGGATGGTGCCCGGAGGCTGGATGGTGCCCAAGGAGGCTGGATGGTGCCCCGGAGGCTGGGTAGTGCCTGGAGGCTGGATGGTGCCCTGGAGGCTGGGTGGTGCTCCTCAGGGCTGGGTGCCCGGAGGCTGGGTGGTGCTCCTGGAGGCTGGATGGTGCCCAGGAGGCTGGATGGTGCCCAGGCTGGATGGTGCCCCAGGTGGCTGGGTGGTGCTCCCAGAGGCTGGATGGTGCCCAAGGAGGCTGGATGGGTGGGTGGTGCCCCGTGGCTGGGATGATGCCTTGGATGCTGGATGGTGCCCAAGGAGGCTGGATGGTGCCCCGGAGGTGGGTGGTGCTCCTGGAGGCTGGATGGTGCCCAAGGAGGCTGGATGGTGCCCGGAGGCTGGATGGTGCTCCGGTGGCTGTGTGTAGGTGGATGGACCAAGGAGGCTGGATGGTGGAGGCTGGGTGGTGCTCCTGGAGGCTGGGTGGTGCCCTGGAGGCTGGATGGTGCCCAGGGAGGCTGGATGGTGCCCCGGAGTGGATGGTGCCGGTGGCTGGTGTGCTCCGGAGGCTGGGTGCTCTCGGGCTGGGTGGTGCTCCTGGAGGCTGGATGGTTTCTTTGGAGGCTGTGTGGTTTCCTGGAGGCTGCCTGGTTTCCTGGAAGCTGGGAGGTGCCCCGGAGGCCGAGGGTGCACCTTGAGGCTGTGTGGTTTCCTGGGCTGGATGGTGCCCCGGAGGCTGGTTGATGCCTCCGGAGGCTGGATGGTGCAAGGAGGCTGGATGGTGCCCCAGGTTGATGGAGCCTCCGAGGCTGGGGTTGCCCCGGAGGCTGGATGGTGCCCCGGGAGGTGTGGGAGGTTGGTGCTTTCCTGGAGGCTGGGTGGTTTCTGGATTCTGGATGGTGCTCAGGAGGCTGGGTGGGTCTGGAGGATTGATGGTGCCCTGAGGCTGGATGGTGTGGGGATGGTGCTCTGGGATGGAGGTGCCCGGAGGCTGGTGGTACTCCCAGGCTGTGGGGTTTTTTGGCTGGATGGTTTCTGGAGGTGGATGGTGCTCCGGAGGCTGGGTGTGGTTGCTGGAGGCTGGGTGGTGCTCCTGGGGGGTGGGTGGTGTTTGGGTGTGGGGGCTCCTGGGCTGGATGTTTGTCTGGAGGCTGGGTGGGGCCATGGAGGCTGGATGGTGCCCCGGAGGCTGTGGTGCTGGGTGGATGCTGCTGGAGGTGGGCTGTGCTCCTGGAGGCTGGGTGTTGTCTTGGGAGGATGGGTGGTGGTCAGGAGGCTGGGTTGGTTGCTGGTGGCTGGATGGTGCCCTGGAGGCTGGATGGTGCTCCTGGGGCTGGGTTGTGCTCCTGGAGGCTGGGGTGCCTGGGCTGGTGGTGCTCTGGCTGGGTGGTGTTTTGGGCTGGGTGGTGCTCTTGGGCTGGATGGTGTGTGGGTGGGCTGTCTCCTGGGGCTGGATTGTGCTCCTGGGGTGGGTGGTGCTCCTGGGGGCTGGATGGTGTTTGGGCTGGGTGGTGTTTTGGTAGGCTGGAGGGGTGTCCTGGGAGCTGGGCAGTGCTCTGGGGCTGGTTGGTGCTTCTGGGCTGGGTGGTGCCCCGAGGCTGGCTGGTGGCCCGGGCTGGATGGCGCCCTGGAGGCTGGACGGCGTTCCTGGAGGCTGGGTGATGCCCCAGAGAGGCTGATGGTGCTCTGGAGGCTCGATGGTGCCCCGGGAGGCTGATGGGTGCCCCGGAGACTGGGCTGTGCCCTGGAGGCTGGGATGCCCCGGGAGGCTGGAGGGCGGCCCCAGAGGCTGTGGGCCTGGCCGATGGCTTTCCTGGAGGCTGCCATGCTCCCCGGAGCATGGCTAAGCTCCAGGAGGCTGGGTGGTGCTTCCAGGCTGGGTGGTGTTCCTGGAGGGTGGATGGCGCCCTGGAGGTGGATGGTACCGGAGGCTGTGAAGCCTCCGGGGAGGCTGGATGGTGCCCTGGAGGCTGGGGGCTGGTGTCTCGTGGGGCTGGATGTGCTGAGGCTGGATGGTGCTCCTGGAGGCTAGGGTGGTGCTCCTGGAGGCTGGCTGGTGTTCCCGGAAGCTGGATGGCGCTCCTGAGCCGGGATGGTGCCCCTGGAGGCTGGGTGGTGCTCCTGAGGCTGGATGGTCCTCCTGAGGCCTGATGGCACCGGAGGCTGAGGTGCCTCAGGCTGCCTGGTTTCCTGGAAGCTGGGAGGTGCCCCGAGGCCGAGGCACCTTGAGGCTGTGTGTGGTTTCTGAGGCTGGATGTGCCCCGGGAGGCGGGATGATGCCCATGGAGGCTGGATGGTGCCCAAGGAGCTGGGATGTGCCCCGAGGCCGGCTGCGCCCGGAGGCCGGGTAGTGCTCCTGGAGGCTGGGTGCCCTGCGCTGGGGGGGTGCTCCTGGAGGCTGGATGGTTTCTGGAGGCTGTGGTTTCCCAGAGGCGCTGCCTGGATCTCCCTGAAGCTGGGAGGTGCCCCGAGGCCGAGGCACCTGACGCTGTGCCCCTGAGGTTGATGGTGCCCCCGAGGCTGGATGATGCCCCTGAGGTTGGAAGGTGCCCCGGAGGCTGGATGGTGCCGGAGGCTGGGGTGGCATTCCCGAGGCTGGGTAGTTTCTGGAGGCTGGGTGGTTTCTGACCGATGGTGCTCCAGGCTGTGAGCCCTGGAGGCCTGATGGTGCCCCTGGAGGTTGGATGGTGCCCCTGGAGGCTGGATGGTGCTCCTGGAGGCTGGGAGGAGCCTGGAGGCTGAGTAGCAGTTCCCAGAGGCTGGCGTGGCTTCCTGGAAGCTGGATGGTTTTCCTGGAGGCTGGGCAGCTCCTGAGGCTGGGTGGTGCCCTCGGAGGCTGATGGTGCAACTGGAGGCTGGATGGTGCCCAGGAGGCTGTGGTGCTCCTGAGGCTGGGTGGTATTTTGAGGTGGACTTATGCCCCTGAGGGTGGATGGTGCCTGGAGGCTGGGTGAAGCCCTGGAGGCTGGATGGTGCCCAGTGGCTGGGTGTTTTGCTGGAGGCGGGGATGCCCCGAGGCTGGGTGGTGCTCTTGGAGGATGGGTGGTGCCCTGAAGCCTGGGTGGTGCTCCCGAGGAGGGTGTGCCCCGGAAGGGATGGTGCTCCTGGAGGCTGGGGGTGGTGCCCAGGAGGCTGTGGTGCTCCCGGAGGCTGCGATGCCCCGAGGCGGGGTGGTGCCCTGGCGAAGGATGGTGCCCTGAAGGCTGGATAGCCCCGGGAGGCTGGATGGTGTTGCTAGAGGCTGATGCCACCTGGAGGCTGGGTGGTTTAGCTGGTAGGTTGGGGGGATGCCCCTCCGGAGGCTCTGTGGTGCCTTAGGAGGCTGGGGTGGTGCTCCTGGAGGCTGGATGGAAAGCCCCCAGGAGGCTGGATGGTGCCCTGAGGCTGGGTGGTGCTCCTGGAGGCTGGGGGATGCCCCCGAGGCTGGGTACAGCCCCGGAGGCTGGGGTGGTTCCTCTGGCTGGGTGGTGCCCTGGAGGTTGGGTGGTGCCCTGAGGCTGGGCAAGCTCCTGGAGCTGGATGAGCCCCTGGAGGCTGTGTGGTTTCCCAGAGGCTGCCTGCCTCTTGAAGCTGGGAGGTGCCCCGGAGGCCGAGGGGTGCAACCTGAGGCCGTGTGGTTTCTGGAGGCTGGATGGTGCTGGAGGCTGGGTGGTGCTCCTGGAGGCTGGGTGGTGCTCAGGAGGCTGGATGGTTCTGCTGGGGCTGGGTGGTGCTCTTGGAGGTGGGTGGTGCCCTGGAGGCTGGATGGTTCTGCTGGAGGGTTGTGGCTCTGGAGGTGTGGGTGGTTTTCGGAGGCTGGGTTGGTGCTCCTGGAGGTGGGTGGTGCTCCGGAGGTGGGTGGTGCACCTGTGGATGGTTTTGTGGGGCTGGGTGGTGCTCCTGAGGGTGGGTGGTGCTCCGGAGGTGGTGGTGCTCCAAGAGGTTGGGGTGCCCTGGAGGTTTGGTTGGTGCCTGGAGGCTGGATGGTGCTCAGGAGGCTGGGGTGCTCCTGGAGGCTGGCTGTGTTCTGGAGGTGGGTGGTGTTTTGATTTGGATGGTGCTCTCGAGGCTGGGTGAGCTCTGGAGGCTTGATGGTGCTCCTGGAGGCTGGATGGTTTTGCTGGAGGTTGGGGTGCTCCTGGAGGCTGGGTGGTGGTCGGAGGATGGGGTGGTGCTCCAGGAGGCTGGGTGGTTTCCTGGAGGATGGGTGGTGCCCCTGGAGGCTGGATGGTGCTCCTGGAGGCTGGGTGGTGCTCCTGGAGGTTGGGATGCGTGCCCGAGGCTGGATGGTGCTCCTGGAGGCTGGGTAGCTCCCGGAGGCTGGGTGGTGCTCCTGGAGGCTGGCTGGTGTTCGTGGAGGCTGGATTGCGTCTGTGGCTGGATGGTGCTCTTGGGGCTGGGTGGTGCCCCGGAAGTTGGAAGGTGCTCCTGGAGGGTGGATGAAGCCCCTGAGGCTGGATGGTGCTCCTGGTGGCTGGGTGGTTTAACTGGAGGCTGGGGGATGCCCCGGAGGCTGTGTGGTGGTAGGGAGGATGGGGTGGTCTCGGAGGCTGGGTGGTGCTCGTGAGGATGGTGGTGCTCCTGGAGGCTGGGTGGTGCTCTGGAGGCTGGGGGTGCCTAGGGGCTGGGTTGGTGCTCCGTGAGGCTGGGGGTGATTCCAGGGCTGGGTGGTGCTCCTGGAGGCTGGATGGTGCTCCTGGGTTGGGTGTCTGGGGGCTGGGTGGTGCTCCTGGGGCTGGGTGGTGCTGCTGGAGGCTGGGTGGTGCTCGTGAGGCTGGGTTGTTTGTCTGGAGGCTGGGTGGTGCTCCTGGGGCTGGGTGGTGTCATGTGGCTGGGTGTGCCTGGATGGGCTGGGTGGTGCTCCTGGAGGTGGGTGTTGCTCTGGAGGCTGGGAGGTGCCCTGAGGCTGGGTGGTGCTCCTGGAGGCTGGTGCTCATGATGGGTTGTGGTTGCTCTTGGAGGCTGGGTGGTTCCGAGGCTGGGTGGTGCCCCGAGGATGGGTGGTGCCCTGGAGGCTGGATGGTGCCCTGGAGGCTGGGTGGTGGCCAGGAGGCTGGGTGGTGCCCTGGAGGCTGGGTGTGCTCCGGGAGGTTGTGGTGCTCCCTGAGGCTGGATGGTGCTCCTGGGCTGGATGGTTTGCTGGAGGTTGATGGTGCTCCCTGAGTCTTGGTGGTGCTCCCGGAGGCTGGGTGGTGCACCTGGAGCTGGGTGGTTTCCTGGAGGCTGGGTGGTGCCCCTGGAGGCTGGGTGGTGCCCCGGAGGCTGGATGGTGCTCCTGGAGGCTGGATGGTGCCCCTGTAGGAGGGATGGTGCCCTGAGGCTGGGTAAGCCTGGAGGCTGGGTGTGCCCTGGAGGCTGGGAGGTGCCCCCGAGGCTGGGTGGTGCTCCGGAGGCTGGGTGGTGCTCCTGGAGGCTGGATGGTTGTTCCTGAGGCTGGATGGCGCTCCTGGAGGCTGGATGGTAGGGTGTGTCATAGGAGGGAAGATAAGCTAAACTAATGGCCCATCACTTTTGGTAGATTTTGTTGTATATAAACGAAATAACTTCAGTTTCAATATTTTGCAACCTTTGCTGGGTAAATTTGTGAAATTGATCGAAATCTGGTATTTGCGTTAGTGCATTATAATGGTGAAATTGTTTGACTTCATTCTTTTACAACCCAATTAACAAATTTTTTTCTGTTTCAGATTCTGATGCATTTATAAGTTGATAATATTTGTGATGGCTGCTTGTGTCAGGACGAGGAACCAAAATCATCATCTCAGTCACTATCTTGGGTCTGGGAGAGAGCCCTAGTCGGAGCGACATTGAGAGATGCTTTGAGATACGGTGTTTTAATCAGGCAACCAGTGAGAAGAATCCAAAGAACTTACAATGAAGTTTGTTGGTGTTTGGGTAGCTCTGGCAACGCTCGGTTCAAGCCTCCAGTCTGCTAGTCAGAAGGTTGGTGAGAGATGATGGCTGGTTGGAAAGGCGAGAGATATCTCTTGGGAGAGGATTGTGTTGGGCTTGCCGTAACTGGACCAGTTATTGGCATTTTTGCAAGTGCCGTTTTGTTCTCTGTCCTGAGTTTGATGGATCGTGACTGTAACTGAGGCCCATCTCCTGTGTTTGGCGTGAACTGAAGTTCTGTGGATCGAACTGCATTTGTAAAGCACAGAGAGAAGACTGGCAGTAGGGCTCTTTTGATTTCTTGGATGTTCCGGTTGTCCAAGGCAGGGGCTGTTGGAGAGGTGGGGAAGAGTTGCCGAGGAAAAGAGGCTTGAGAAGGCCAGGGTGGGGTAAAAGGTGGGTGATTGGGTCAAGCTGATTAGGGGTTTATGTTTCCTGGCTGATCCGGTGCTGACCAGGAGATGGTGATTTTGTCCTAACAGAAAATAATGATCTAAAACTTTTGAGGATAGATTGGGGAATGGAAAGATATCCTGAGCATGTTGGCCATCTGTGACGTCACCTGGTCTCAGAGAAACTGCAGAGATGTAACAGTGCCTGGATTGATTGGTGGTTTGATATTACCTGGTGATGTTCAATTGGTGGTAGATCATAACAAAGTAAGGAGAGCTCTGTGAGAAACTTTGTCAGTAACTGGGGGGTTTGATATGGGATAAGAGAAATGGAATCATTTTTGTTTGTGTGGGAGAAGGATGACACTAAAGTGTTCATGAGGTTGAGTTTGACATGGTGAAGGGGAACATTACTCCTGCTGAGTGAACCGGGAGGGAAGTGTTTGTGGTCTGGTCCTCTTGGCAGATGCTGGACTCTGCCACTGAGTTAGAAATAAATCCGAGCTTTGAAAAATCACAGTTGGCCCTTCACTGTTGAGCTTGCACATACTGTCATTGACGACCTGGGTACTGACCAGTGCTATGGTTTCATGATTTGCAGTGCCATCAAAACTGGGGTCATGCCTGATAGACTTGTTACCTTCAGATAGGTCCAGTCTCACATTCTAGGTGGCTCACAACGGCTCTCGGGTTCTAGAATGGGTCGCTCATCATAAACTGAAAGGAACCAGCTTCACAACCTGAGACTTATTGTCCAATTCATCGTGAGTGTCTACTTGCCAAATTGGTTCAACACCAAGGTCAAGTCATTTTCTCCGAAGGTCGAGGCATGTTCTCTTCCAGCTTGAGCTCTGAGGAGTCAGCAAGGAAGGTTGTTCAGATTGTGAGCAGACTGTGAGGAGATCTTCCTGGTATGCTTATCCTGAGGCAGTTCTGCAGACAATGCTCTGTGAGGATGAGGAGGAGAAGAGTGGCAGTCAAAAGTATCTTGGATGAGACTTGTGAGAGGTTCTGGGATGACGAATCAGTTGGACGATTCCTTCAGGTCAGGAAGACTCCTGAAGTCAATCTAGGTGCAAGACCTCAATGATCTCATAGATCTGGATATCCAGGCTGCAGTAGCCCTCTACCTGCAGCCTCACCAATGTTCAAGTCAGAGCTTTCCTGACAACCCCATGCATGTCCCTGCCTGGCCCTCGCACACCCAGAGTATAGAGCTGTGTACAGCAAGTGAGCGAGGCCAGCAGTCACGTGTACAGCCAGGAGAGGAGGGAAGGCTACATCCGGGCTCAGGTGGTCTAGCAGGGAGGTGATGAGTAGAAACAGAAGCAAGAAAGACATGTTCTCTATGGTGTGCAGCAACACCGGGTCGTAGTAGTAAAACCGGTTTTTGTATTTGATGATTTTGTTTTCTAAAGGAATATTAAATTTAATAAATGTGTCAAGATCATTCGTTTCACTATTCTGGATCATTTTCATCCTAATAAATTAACCTGATACATTTACTTTACTTTAAATAAGCTTTTATTTAGTGGTGTTGGTAAAAGGGTGGGAATACTGAATTTTCTAGATTTCGGGTTAAAATTTACCTAGCAAAAATAAAAACTTTTCAAATCTGAAGATACACATGATTCTGCACATAGAACTACATCATTAATACCATGGGCCGATTTTTTCATCAAAAAAAAAATTGCCTCCAGTGACACACCCTACTGGATGGTGCTCCCTGGAAGGTGGTGGCTCTCGAGGCTGGGTGGTGCCCTGGAACATGAGGAGCATGTCTCACTTACCTCCCCATGTTTTTGTGTTACTCCCTATGTGTCTGTCTTACCTCCCATGTGTCCGTCTTACCTCCCCATGTGTATGTGTTCTCCCTATGTGTCTGTCCTATCTCCCGTGTGTATGTGTTACTCCCTATGTGTCTGTCTTATCTCCCCATGTTCTGTCTTTCTCCCCATGTGTCTGTCTTGCCTCCCCAGTGTATGTTACTCCCCATGTGTCTGTCTTACCTCCCCATGTTTCTGTCTTACCTCCCACGTGTATGTCTTACCTCCCACATGTATGTTACTCCCTATGTGTCTGTCTTACCTCCCCATGTTTCTGTCTTACCTCCCACGTGTATGTCTTACCTCCCCACGTGTGTTTGTGTTACTCCCATGTGTCTGTCTTACCTCCTCCCCATGTGTCTGTCTTACTTCCCCACGTGTATGTGTTCTCCCATGTGTCTGTTCCTGCCCATATGTGTCTGTCTTACCTCCCCATGTTTCTTGTCTTACCTCCCCAATGTGTATGTCTTACCTCCCACGTGAATGTGTTACTCCCTATGTGTCTGTTTTACCTCCCATGTGTCTGTCTTACCTCCCACGTGTATGTGTTACTTCCCATGTGTCTGTTTACCTCCCCACGTGTATGTGTTTACCTCCCACGTGTGTATGTGTTACTCCTATGTGTCTGTTTTTTACTCATGTGTCTGTCTTACCTCCCACGTGTATGTTACTCCCATGTGTCTGTCTTACCTCCCCACGTGTATGTCTTACTCCCATGTTTCTGTCGTACGTCCCCATGTGTGTGTTTTACCTCCTATGTATGTGTTACTCCCCATGTGTGTGTCTTACCTCCCCATGTTTCTGTCTTACCCCCACGTGTATGTCTTACCTCCCTACGTATGTGTTACTCCCCTGTGTCTGTCTACTCCCATGTGTCTGTCTTACTTCCCACAGTGTATGTGTTCTCCCCATGTGTCTGTCTTGCCTCCATATGTGTCTGTCTTATCTCCCCATGTGTCTTTATTACCTCCCCACGTGAATGTGTTACTCCCTATGTGTCTGTTTTACCTCCCCATGTGTCTGTCTTACCTCCCCACGTGTATGTGTTACTTCCCATGTGTCTGTCTTACATCCCCACGTGTATGTCCACCTCCACGTGTATGTGTTACTCCCATGTGTCTGTCTTACCTCCCATGTTTCTGTCGTGCGTCCCCATGTGTGTGTTCTTACCTCCTACGTGTATGTGTTACTCCCCATGTGTCTGTCTTACCTCCCACGTGTATGTGTTACTTCCCATGTGTCTGTCTTACATCCCCACGTGTATGTCTTACCTCCTACTGTGTATGTGTTACTCCCCCATGTGTCTGTCTTACCCCATGTTTCTGTCTTACCTCCCACGTGTATGTCTTACCTCCCCACGTGTATGTGTTACTTCCCATGTGTCTGTCTTACCTCCCCACGTGTATGTGTTACTTCTCATGTATCTGTCTTACCTCCCTACGTGTATGTCTTACCTCCCATGTATGCGTTCCCATGTGTCTGTTTTACCTCCCCATGTTTCTGTTCTTACCTCCACGTGTATGTCATCACCCTGTATGTTTTCTTCCCTATGTGTCTGTCTTACCTTCCACGGGTATGTGTTACTCCCCATGTGTCTGTCTTACCTCCCCACGTATCTGTCTTACCTCCCCACGTGTATGTCTTACCTCCCCACGTGTATGTCTTACCTCCCCACGTGTACGTGTGTTACTCCCACGTATGTCTTACCTCCCTACATGTATGCGTTACTCCCTATGTGTCTGTCTTACCTCCCCATGTTTCTGTCTTACTCCACGTGTATGTCTTACCTCCCCACGTGTATGTGTTACTCCCCATGTGTCTGTCTTACCTCCCCACGTGTATGTTTTACTCCCCATGTGTCTGTCTTACCTCCCACGTGTATGTGTGTTACTTCCCTATGTGTCTGGTGTGTACCTCCCCACGTGTATGTCTTACCTCCCCACGTGTATGTGTTACTCCTCATGTGTCTGTCTTACCTCCCCACGTGTATGTGTTACTCCCTATGTGTCTGTCTTACCTCCCCACGTGTATGGTACTCTATGTGTCTGTCTACTTCCCATGTGTCTGTCTTACCTCCCCACGTGTATGTGTTACCCTCATGTGTCTGTCTTACCTCCCACGTGTATGTGTTACTCCCTATGTGTCTGGTGTACCTCCCCACGTATGTCTTACCTCCCCACGTGTGTGTCTTACCTCTCCACGTGTATGTGTTACTCCCCATGTGTTCTCTTACCTCCCACGTGTCTGTCTTTCCTCCCACGTGTATGTCTTTACCTCCCCACGTGTACGTGTTACTCCCCATGTGTCTGTCTTACCTCCCATGTTTCTGGTTTACCTCCCCATGTGTCTGTCTTACCTCTCTACGTATGTGTTACTCCCCATGTGTCTGTCTTCCTCCCCATGTGTCTGTCTATTTCCCACGTGTATGTGTTACTCCCATGTATGTGTCTTACATCCATATTATAACACTGGGAACACACTTTCGGTTGCATGAGTTCTGACACTTGATTCTGGTAGATTTGAGGTCACAGATTCTGAAAATGGCATTCGTTTGTGCAGATCAGGTCTAGTTTTTGACTTAGTTCGAGATCTGGGTCTGTCTAAAAGCTGTCAGAATTGTTGGCTTCACGGTTAAAAGATAAAAACTTGCTGAAAATAGACACAAAGGTAACATTCTTTCGCAACAGAGAAAAGAACCCTTACAGTTCTTTTGATTCTAAATTTGACTTCGTCTACTGTTGTGATATTTCTGGATTAGTCACCGCGATGGAGCTCCAGGTTATGATCCGAAAGAGTGGCGCCTCTTTATAGATAGCTCTAAGCGGAGTCTGAAGTGTGTTTTATTACATATAGGCAACATCTTTGGCCCATAGGACACTCAGTACACCTGAAAGAAAAATATGAACACATCAAAACGGTTTTGAGCTACTCAAATATGAAGAACACAAATGGATCATCTGTGTTGATCTAAAATTGTCAATTTTTGCTAGGACAGCAAGGTGGGTATACAAAATTTCCTTTGCTTTATCCGCCTCTGGGACAGTAGAGCCAAAGACAGACACTGGATTCAGATGGAATGGCCAGTTAGGAAAGCCTCAATGTTGGGGAAAAGAACATCATTTATGAACCCCTAGTGGAACGTGAAAAATTGTTTTCCCGCCCCTTCACATCAAGCTGGGCCTTATGAAACAGTTTGTCAAGGCGCTCGATACTGACAGTGACTGTTTTAAGTATCTGTGTGAAGTGTTCCCTGGTTTAACGATAGAAAAACCTCAGCAGGTATTTTCGACGGCCCTCAAATTAGACGCTGATTAAAGACCAAGCCTTCACTCAATCCATGACTGATGTTGAGAGAAATGCATGGGGAGCATTCGTTTCTGTTGTAAGGAACTTTCTTGGAAACAGGAAATCAGAGGACTATAAAAAGCTCGTTGAATCTTTGATGGAAAGTTTCCATGTGTTAGGTTGCAACATGAGCATTAAGATGCATTTCCTGAACAGTCATCTTGAACTGTTTCCGGCAAACTTGGGGACGTGAGGATGAGCAAGGTGAACGCTTTCACCAGGATATCAAAGTCATGGAAGACAGGTATCAAGGTCGCTGGGACATTCACATGATGGCGGACTATTGCTGGAGATCAGCGAGACTGCATTGAGAGGCGATATTCAAGACAGTCCATTAAACGCAAGTTTATGCCTGAATAAATCTAGCATAGTTCACAAAAGCAACTGATGAATCAAAATATGCTTGTCAAGGTAAATAAAAGTAATTAAAAATTAATTCTACGTGTTTGGTAATTCCTCTCTGTGTGCTGGTTTAGATTTTTGCAGTAGTATATGGTAGTCTAACTATATATAGTAGTAAATGGTAGGTAACTCACCGCAACAAAACTAGACCCGATAGAAAAACCGGTGCCATATTTGAAATCAGTGACCTCAATTTACCCAGAAACAGGTTTCAAAATGTATGCAACTGACAAAAGTTGAATTTGTTCTCAGTGTAATGAGTCAAACTCACATAAAGAAGATTACATATAGGTAGTATATTGATAGTAAGAGAAATGTAAAGAGAGAGGAAGACTGGTAGCGTAGCCGTGATAGTTATTTAGTCTGGACTTACACTTATCTTATTTTATTTGTCAATACACATCTGTTACATTCTTAAGGGCGACTTCTCAAACACCGCTTCGTTACAACTGTTTATTTATTACGACAATGACATGGACACTTTAATAACCTTCTATCGAAGTTACTAGACATGTTACTAGTGTATGTATATTCTGTATGCTATGTATATTATGTATGTGCTCCATTTATATACTATTTATTCAGCCTAGCTAGTAGCCATCAATGTCCCACATGCCTAATTAATGTGCCTGGCGATATATGGAAGCTATCACATGTCTCTAGAGAGCGTTGACCAGCAGAGAGGTTGAGGGCGCTACTCCCCTTTGTGTACATATCTCTTATCCAGTAAATCGAACCTACAAAATTTATACAGGTGTTGTGTTCGCCTCCTGTATATAGAACTTAATACCCAGAACACGAACATGGCGCAGTGTCTAGTCTTACTGATAATTACGAGTGAAGTGCAAAGTTTGTGGAAAGCCGGCTCTACTGTTAACTCAACTCACCGGCCAACCGCCGCCTCGAAGAATTTTTAGCAACTTTGAGCAGTGTCAGTGACAGTGATATTCTGTGAAGTGTTTAGTGCATTGGTGTTTTTGGTTAGAAAATGAGTGACCTGTTTTAAAGGATTCCAAGGTACACGGCATGTTCTGGGCATTTGTAAGGAGTAACGTTTTTCACATCCTCCTCTCGTCATGCCTCCTCGAGGGTAACTGACGCTCGTCGTCTACACCCCTCACAGCTCGAGGAGACGCTCCTGCCCAGCCAGCACACAATAACACACACACACACACTCACTGACCGGCAGATCCCTTTTATATATATTTTATATATATAATCTACTTATCTGTGTATTTAATTAATTGTCTGAGATCTTGTTGATACGACGGGCTGACCTGTCAACACTGATTTAGGACACAGTACACAGATGACGTAGTTATGTCTGTGCCTTGCGCAATAGTGGAGCCAGCGCCCGATGAGTCAGTCGGGATGATAGTTCATGAGAGATGGATGACCAGGCTGACCATGACGCCTCCCAGCTACCACAACATCGCACAGCCTTCACCTCGATATTCAGTTGTCTCCAGAGAGATAATTGCTTTAATGAAGTTTATGAGAGATGAAAGGCGCGAGGATAAGCTAACAGACGTATGGCGGATGAACACAGACGACAAGCAGAAGAAGAGAGACCACCAACGGAGATTGGAAGACAGTGCACGGTTTGAAGCCTCTGGATATCTCGCCTCACTGTTAACCAAGCCCCGGCTCTTAACACTGCCTCGGTACTGACTGGTTCAGATACCTCACCAATGCTTCTTTCACGCCCCAGCCCCACCTAAAGCAGCAGCTCAAACACCGCCCATCTTGAAGCCTGATGTGAATTTGACTTTTCGTGAATGGCGGCGATGGCACTGATTATTCTACAGACTCCAGAGTTTGTCACAGCCTAAACAACTCATCCAGCTGCGTATGTGCCTGTCCTTGAACCGCGTGTCTTACGTGCCTGAGTCTCCAGCACCACATAGCGTGGAGGCATATCTTACGCCTACATTTCACACAAGCTATTAATAATTTGTTAATTGTACTTATTATATTATTATTGTTCTTAGTTACTTAGGTTAATTGTATATAGGTTATTAATATGCATCATTGTCTTACTCTGTTAAGTCAACTCAAGAGTAGTATTAATTAATATAAAATATCCAGCAAATGTCCTGGATCACGTGATATGAGAGACGCCTCCTCGGGCGCCACACGCCCCCAGTAGCTAAAAACCGTAGCATAGGGTGTAGACGTGTGTCCATTCGTTCTCTAGCCTTTGACCCTTGTCTAGTGCCTTGGTCCAGTCTTCTGCAATGGGGCACGGTAGGGGTATTAGTGACACGTTTAGTTAGGCCTAGGAAGGGATCCTGGGTAAGGAATCTCCTGTTTGGGGAAATAATCATTTTGTAGTGATTGTTGTATATATATATTTTTCGTATGTCTGTGTAATATAGTAATGTTAAGTAATATTCGTTTGGTCTAACTCCTTAGGTATATTTTCGCCCTTCCGGCATCACTCTTTTATTATACAATTACTTATTCCCTTAAATTCATGTTTTGCTAGTCATTACTCCTTTAAAACATTAAATTGAATTAATTAATATCTTCCCTTTTGTGATTCACTTATTTCAACTTGTTCATACTTATTCAAGTACATTTAGTGGAGTAGGTAATAACAGGTTCTTCCCAAGTATAAAGGGTAATAGTGACAGTGTCTTAGAACATACGTTGCAGGTATCTCCGACTCTTCT